TATTATCTATACTTTTGCGACAAACTGGCACCACACGTATAAATGAAATAAATAAATTATTAATTTGTACCTGGATGTTAATGGCCATTATATTAGGCACATGTTATTCGGGGTCTATATATGCATTGATTCGGGTTCCCATTGAACACAGAATCGAAACATTAGACCAATTGATTGAAAATGAAAAAAATGGTAACATTCAAATGGTTGTATATAATGGGTCTGTTGAACAGTACGTGCTAGTAAGTTAAATTAAATTTTATTTTCACCATAACAATTCACCTATTACCAGACTGCCATTATCTTTAAAGTATTTTAATTATAATATATTTATATTACTGTATATTGTAATCCTATGTATTTTTAATTTAATAAATTCAATCTTATAGGATAAAATTAACGAACGATATGGATATAGGTTTATAATTTACCATGGTGTTGACGAGAAATCTTTAATTGATTATTTTAAACGTACTGATTTTAAATACTCTGTAATTGGTGAAAAGGATAACCTTCTATATAACATATTCAAGCACAATATAATTGGACATTATGTAGCAAATAATGTAAACGATGCAAAATTAGCATTGAGTCTAGTTGCTATGGGATTAGTTAAAAATTCACCTTATCTGTATGATTTTAATAAAATGTATGAGAAATAATTAATTTATTAATATCTACAGTAAATTAAATATCTTATTTTATATTACCGGTAGTTTATCACAGATACGCGAGGCAAATCTTATGGATTACTGGATGAGAAAATATCTGAAAAGTAATGTACAGCTTCACCAGGATAATACAAGTGATTGTTTTGCTTTATCGTACAAAAATTTAAAATTTATTTTCAATATCTATATAAATGGAGCCATTTCTATGCCCTTAGTATTGATTATGGAAATATTCCTGTGTGTATTATTTAAATATGCTAAATTTTAAATTTTAAGCATTATGTTAAGCAATTGTATTATTATTAAATCAATTATAATAATAAATATTTCAATGAACCGTTTTACTTTTTGGATAAAAATACAAAACATGCTAACTGCAAAAGCTTCTGTATTTGTTTATATTAATTCAATATATTAGTTACCAGGGTTTTATATTTTTACTCAAAAATAGAAACGATTCATTGTCAGTGACATTGTCCTTATGGTTAGTATGACTATCCCTGTCAGGATAACTTAATAAATAACTTATACAGTATCAATTTAGAAAAAATTCAAGTTTGTGTCAACCATTGGGTTTAATGATATAATAGTAGTAATTAAAGGTTACAGTAATTTTTTCGATTTAATTTATTTAGAGTCTAAATTTCAGACTAAATAATCACAGCAATTTATGTAATTATATTTTTGCACTGATAATGTATTTTGAAAATATTGATTCAAATATCATTGAATTCTGTATGTAATATGATTTCTAAAGTTAAGCACTTTTTGTGCTAAATTTATTTCATTTAAGCATTGTAATTTATTTAATTTTAATTATTTAGACCCCTAACTATAAATTTAGAATATTTCCAACAAATTATACTACTCAATTGTTTTCAACTTTTTTATAATTTTTGTAATTTAGTGTAATTGATTTAATTTTCGTAATGTAATTTTTATAATATCAGTTTTTTAAACCCCTAACTTTAAACTGTAAGTCAATACATGAACGTACTGTGTAAAGATCAAGATAAATAATTATATGAATAGATGAATAGATTTAATGATTTATTAGTGATTTTCATATTTGGAAACAAAACAGTGAATAATGGATGAAATGATAAGTAGAAGACCGGCGCTAATGAAGACAAAAGCGAAAGAGCCGGTCATGTCATAGAGAGCACCGGCCAATGGAGGGCCCAGTATTGAGGATATGCCGCGAAAACAACTGATGAGACCGAAAGTTGTCGACAAGATCTCGATGCCCAACAGATCCGCCAAAATGATTGACGTCAACGACATATACGAGGCTTCAATGAAATGATAATTAAAATGAAATGAAATGAAAGAAAATGAAAATATCGTACAAATAAAGAAACCAAAGACTATACAATCGATGAGCAAAAGCCAGTATTGACTCCAAAGGGGAATCATAACTGTGGCGATGCCTGACATGAGTAGACAAAAGTTATTGATAGTAAGGGCTGTTATCCTGATGTTGTGTCCAATTGTTTTGCCCGAGACTTTGTCACTAAACCACCCGAAGAATAGTCGTCCGAAAACATTAGAGATTCCTATAGCCGACAGAATGAGTGCCGCCTTTCCCGGGCCCACCATTTCGTCGCCGTCTTGTCATTCAAACATAACAATGAGTTTTCATTTCAATTAAGACGTTAAGGAAATTAATTGAACGCTACCTTTGATGCCATTCCTCACGTGTTGAGTGATGTATACGAATGGTATGTAATAACCAGTCATCCCGAAGACATTGGCCACGACTAACAAAATCATAACCGGTTTCTTCAAAACAGACAAATCAAATATTTGGACCAAAATCGAGCCAAACGTCTCTTTGTTTGTGTCTGTCTTGAGATCTTTGTTCACATCTCTCTTCTCATAACAAATTGAATCCGAAGTAACCGACAGTTTATAGGAATATTTGCGATCAATTGAATGAATGTTATTATTGTTGGAAACAAAACTCAAATTTCCATTTGATTCGGACTTTAAGTTTAAAGTACTTCCAGAATAGAAGACATCCTTTTTAGCCATCGGTGGCAAAAATATAGACCTTTGAGATGAATGAATGTGTGTTTTGTGCAAAACTGGTGATAAAAGCTCCTCAAGAACTGGTGATTTCGTGTCAGATATGGACCGCATTTTGGTCTTCTTCTTATGGGTTAAGATCTCTGATTGAATGGCCGATTGGATAGCACTGAGTGGTGGCTCCAAATGATTTATAGTAAGACTGGAATGAACTCCCGGTTCAGTGTTTTTGAGCTTCTGGAGGTCAATCTCATCCGGTTCTTCACTATTGACCACAATATTCAATGGTCTCATAAGTGAACCAAAGACAACACAATTGAGTATTAATCCTAATAAGTAATAGCAATAATTCATTTAAAACTATAATAATTAAATGCTAGACTAGCATACCTGCAAGTATTATCAAGGCATTCTTCCAATCGTATACAGTTAAGAGCCACTGACATAACGGTGCGAACAGAAATGCACCCATACCTGACCCACACACTGCTATTCCTATTGTTTAAAAGTAATATAAATTTATTGATAAATGAGTTAAATGGCAACAAACCGGTGGCAAAAGCTCTTTTAGTTGTAAAATAGTAGCCGACTGTCACTATTGCCGGTAAATATATTAATCCAAATCCGACTCCACCTAAAAAATGAATAAATAAAAAATTAAAATAACTATGTATTAAATTTTTAAATAATAATTTTTGAAAATAACTAATTTTATCATTTCTGACCCATTATTCCGTATGTGATGAGCAAAACAAATGAATTGGGAGCCACTGTGGCTAATAGGAAAGCCACACATGATATCAAACTGCCCACTATTGTGATGGGCCGGCATCCGTATCTGTTTGTTAATCCACTAACAAATACACCTGATTTATAAAAATATACTTAATTAACTGATAATTTAAAATAATATTTCTGTGAAATTTTCTGTTCAATAGACTTAAACTAAAACTTAAAGCTATTAAAATATATTTTTATTAATAAAAATAGACTTACTATATGCAATAATCATTTACAGTAGTATAACTTATCATACAGTAATATTCTAATAAGTATACAGTAAGATAATTAATTTTAAAAATAAGTTTTTACTATAGTTTTAATATTTTCTCATAAAATTTATTTATTCAAATTTATTAAGTAATAGTGCATTAACTTGAATATTTTTAATAATCACATTATTGTCATACTCTATAATAATTGTAATCGAATCCCCATATTTAATTATATGAACTATAATCTAAGTTTATGTGAACATTAATGAGATTTATAGATTTTAGATTTACGAGTTAGAAAAATGTATTTTGATAAGGGTTATCATAAATTTTAATATTCAATGCTCGCTTAATAAAATGATTATCAATTATGGTATTTGATAGTTTTACGGTACTATTCTGAAAGTGCTTCTCATATCATATCTAACTGATATGAACTCAAAAATTTTTAATTAATTGTATTGAATTAAGTTAATTAACCAGTAAGTCATAATATTTTATTTTAGTAATTGAATTTATTTTTTTCAAAGTAATTTTTCAAATATTATTACTTTCAAATGAATGAATTAAAGAAATAATATTTTTAAAATTCGTTTTGATTACTACTAACTAATTGATAATATTTAATTTTAATACTAACTAAGTCATTAAAAATATTTACTGATATTTTGTTTAAATAATGACATTATTATCTACATATTTATTTTTAGATATTATATAAATATGATTGATATGGCAGTAAATCTGGTTCGCATAAATAAGTGCTTTTTATGTTATCCCATATATTTAATAAAAATTACTTAATTTACTGAAAATGTCAAAGAATTAGTATAGAATAAAGTTAATATAAAAATAAAAGTATTATTCACATAGAAAACAATGCTTAAAATAAACATCATACTCATTATCACATAAAAGTTATACAAAATATATAGACTAACAATAAAAATCAGTCATACCTGCTGTCATATAGCAACCACTCAATAAAGACCCTGCTAATGCTGTAACGGCTTTACTTGAGTGGAAATGTATGACAAAATCATTAAAGAAAAGGCCAAATGTATAGCAAATGCCATCAACAGTGAGATTACAGAAGAATGAGGCGAACACTATAACCCATCCATAGCCCCCATCAGGTGCCGGATCATTGATTGTCTTTTCACTGTTACCATCATTTGTTAGCATCTCTTCTGGGATTGCGTTTAAACTGACATATCTTTGCGAGTTGTGTGATATCTGTAATGCATTTATATTGTATTTCTTTGATTGCAATCAAACCTTTCAAAGTAAACAGTTTTTATATTTTTATCATTCAATTCCCAAACAATTGACTTAAAATCAAATGTTTTCACTAAAGATCATATAAAAGAGTGTTTTCTAATGAGGAAGTAATCATTACGTCCTCCATATTACACCAATTAAATGTCTTTTTGATCATTATTTCTATATAAACTGAATAAATATAAATATTTGGTCTCAAATTTTAGATTAGATTAATAATTGTTATTTTATTCACTTAATAAACATTAATTCACATCTAATTTGTACACTTTACGTTAGTTTAATTTTTAATTTATTGTAAAGATATCTATCGTTAAGTTATTTATAAATTTTAACTCGATATATTTATACAAACTTTGTAACTTTAACCCATAATATGCTATCAATTGAATTTCATGATTAAATGTCTAAGAAATAAAGTCTAAATAATGAATTAATTCAGTAAAAACTTTTCACAAAAGTATATATATATTTCAAGTTTGTCAATCATATAGTTTACTAAAATATATATTATATAAAATATAAAATATATATAAACTTTTAAATGTTTTATAGCATTAATAACTACCTTTCGATTTCTATGAGGAATTGGTTGTTGTATTAAATTTTTAATTTCACACAATTTAACTTCATCTGAGTCTAGGTTATCCACTGGAAGGCTATGACGCCTTTCCATCACTTGAGTTGATACCAAAATAGTTTTAAAATAATTAAAAATTAATATCAATTATTACTAAAAACGTGTTACAACACTATTATTAAAATACACAAATCACAAGAATTATTATTTATTAAATATTTTTTGTTCACATATAATGACACAAAATTTCAAATATTACATGTAACTAAATATTGTTTCCGATTGTGGAAACACATTAACAAACAAATAAAATATATAATATAATTAACGTTTAAGTGGTTTTCATATAATATTTAGAGATAAAAATAACGTTATATAAAGACTGGAGAGAAGAGAATAAAGACTCTTTTGAAGTGAAAAAAGTTTTTTTCATTTTATTTCTTATCAAATATTTATTCACTTATTCTTATAGCACATTAAATATTATATATCGTATTAGGCGCTAAGAAAATACACACAATATAAAAAATGTTTCTATATTTTGAGTTCATATTATTGATTATTACATTTCGTATAATATTTTATTATTACGGTTCATGTTTAATCTGTTTCATTATTTTTATATATAAAGCACTTTCTTTTCATAATCTTATTCCCAAAGTTAGACACACTTTGAATAAGACTTACACCAAATGATCGCATATACGATATGAAAGAAAAGGAAATTTTTTAT